TAGCTATTTGCTTGGTCTAGCTAACTGTAGCTGGGAAGCAAAATTAGTGCTTACTGTAAGAAAATTACATTTTTATGCACTGTTATTAAATTGGCTAGTACTTAAATTTTATAAACTACATTTCTGTTATGTATAATTTTGACCAACATATTTCTGTCTGCATTTTAATGCTGGTTAACCAGTTCTTTATATTATAAAATGAGAATCTGATATTTTAAATAGAATTTTAGAAATGTAATTTTTAAGAAGTGGACTATTAATTGGAAATATGTGGTATAAATTAAGAGTGGGGATTGTGTAGACCTCAAGATTTTGGATTAAAACTCATCAGTCACTATTGGCTGTGCTGGCTAAGACTGATGAGAGTTTCTTAACACTTAGAGGGCATCTGTGTGCGTGTATTATTGTTATTATTAGATTTTTATCCTGCCTTTTTTATATATCACTCAAGGCAGCGAACATACCTAATACTCCTTCCAATGCCTATTTTCCCCACAATAACAACCCTGTGAGGTGGGTTGGCCTGAGAGAGAGGGACTGGCCCAAAATCACCCAGCTGGCTTTCATGCCTAAGGGAGGACTAGAACACCCTCGCTTGCTTTCTAGGCCAGCACTTTCACCATTACACCAAATTGTACACACACACACACAGCATACCAGAAGTCAGGCCTCATAGATAATTTATTATATAAATTACATTAAATGTTCAGATTAATTGCCATTTTCTTTTAAGCACCTCCTTACTGATTTGACGCATGATCTTTGAACATTCCTAAGTACAGTAACATTTTCCCTGGGGGGAAAAAAACACACTTATGGGGCCTGACTTTTGGTACGCCACACACACACACACACACACACTGTATTAGCCATATTATTCAAATACCCTGTATTAAAAATCATCAAATTTAAATATACCAAAAATTCTTAACCCAGAATTGTCAAACCTGAACACTTTAGAGAAGCATTTTCTGCATATCTATATGGCATAGGGCTTGGTTACTTTGGGGACTGCCTGTCTCCCATAACATCTGCCCGACAAATTCGATCCTGCAGGGTTGGCACATTCCAAGTTCCTTTAGTTAAACAATGTCATCTCTCAGGACCCCAGAAGCGCACCTTCTCTGTAGCAGTGCCTGCCCTCTGGAACGAGGATCCCCCCAAGATCCAGATGACAGCCACTCTTGTTTATTAAATATATCAGTGCTGTGTAAAGACATGTAGTATGTTAGATGGCCTAAATGTAGATCATATGATTGATGAGAATGCAGTTTAAAACTCATTCAAAACTTTCTTACAGCTATACACCACAGAAAAATTTTGGTCACGGTTAGCAAGCACTATTTCAGAAAAACTTGTCACTGTTATTAATCTTATTTATTAATAATATCTGTGAACTGTCCTAGGACCACATTCCGGGGCAGTTTATATCTTGAAGAACTTCCTGAAAATCTTCCGAAGAGCCTGTGGTTTCCTAAAACAAATTTTGAAAACTAATTATATATATTCTCCTGCTCTAAGGTAGGAGGAGTGCATGCAGATCAGCCGTCACAGATCTTCCCAAATGTACAACCTGTAGATTTCTTGCTCCTTGGCTATGCTATTCAGCAGTTCCCCAACCTGGTGCCCTCCAGATATGCTGCAATTCAGCTCTATCATTCTAAGCCTGGATAATCAAAGGTCGTTACAAATTGATCACTGTACCAAAAATATTCACTCATATCAAGTTTATATGACTCCAGAAAATGTTGTAACTATTCCTATGTTCAGTTGATGAACGTAGGAAAATGCTGAAAGTTCTAAGTTGGACTCTTGTACATCAGACATAACCGTAGGATTGTTTTCTGTTATTTTTATCTACTTTTGTGACTACAGAGCAGCTGAAAACGTAAGTTATGTAAATAAATTGATTTATCATCAGAATTAAGACCTCAAGGCAAGTGGATAATAAAAACTCAGCAGAATCAAAAACAGAAGTCGTATCGGCAAACAAGGACAAATAAGGCGGCCAGATGTATAATCAATTACCTGCCATACCAAAAGTATGTTGGAATAGCAATGTCATAATCAGGCATTTAGTGCAAAAATGGTGGGTGAACAGCTGATATCTGCAGGCTGAATACCCTTATCCTCTTAATTAGCACTGCTGAAAATCTACATGTACACGCTTCATAAACCCCTTCTTGAGGTTTTAAACTGCTTTAAGGATTCAAATATTAGAACCAGCCTTGTGAAGTGGGCTTTGAAATTGACCTGTGGAGATCCTGGTGCCCAGTAGTAATGTGCAAATCATTCCAAAGAGGTCCTTTGGAAGGCATGATAGTCTAATGGACGGTCTAGCCAACGCTGGGAACATGGCGGAGGAAACAGGACCATTGTAAAAGAGATACCTCAGCCCGGCGGGGGGGGGGAGGGGGCAGGCAGGGTGAGAAAGAGCCTCCAAGTAATTCTGCCTTACTTACAGTAGGTAAATGGAGACAGGGACAGATTTTGGAACAGTTGCGTGAGCCTAGCAAACCACACTCTAATACTTTTATTTATTATTCATTTTAATAACAAATGCAATTTATTATTAAGAATACTTTTATCAAATTTATTAATGTAATACTTTAATGATTTGCAGAGGAGAGCTTCATTGGTGCTAATGGGCTTTGCAAAGCCCTCTTTCAAATGCTTTGGAAAAGTTAGCTGCTGTAACCAAAATATTTGCATAACTTTGAAAAAATCTAGTAATCTGTTGAAGCGCTCCTGTATCTTAAGACCCTGGATCTTAAGGAGAGGTGGATGTAGCTCTGTTCAGAACATACTCTATAGTTAATAGCATTTAGCAAGGGGAACATTGTAAAATTAGCTTGCTGGCAATAATACTTCAGTTCTAAAGTGCACTTGGAATAGAGTTATTTCAATAGTTGATGTAGCTACCCAGTTCCAAATTAGTAGAAATGATTGATGGGTGCTTAAACAGCTGTCCTGCATATGCTCTTTCTTCTTGCTCAGTTTTCTTATTTCATAGAAAGAGCTTGTTAACCCCACATTTATCTCAGAATATTATTTCGGGTTGTGAGTATCACGTAGTAATAAAGTTGTCTAGTTGCCGTCCACCCAAGTCTTTTGAATAGCTAAAGGGTAACCTTAATAAATAGTTGACTTTCATGAATAAGATGGTTTAGCAAGCCATTTCTAATGCATTTCATTTGGATTTCAGATTAGTTTAACAAGTAGAGTTGATTTTAGCTGGGTATTATGAGAAGTAAAATAGGTGGAATATACAAGATTTCTGGCAGTCTTCCTTACATAAGTCTGAATAGCGTTATGATGAAAATGTTAGTTTGGAATATCGTCTAGACAAAAGCTCTGAAGCTAAAAGATGCAGAATGGCACACGTCTTTCAACTAGTCTTTCAAGGCAGATACTACTTTTCAACTGCAGCCGTTATAGGTGTTGCTACTCAATACTAGAACTCAAGCTTTTCACCCCAAAAATCCCAGGGTCAGTGACACCATCTCACTTTAAAGAATTTCAGATAATGGGAAAGCTGTGTACTTTACATCTTAAAGAACTGGTGTGTGTCTGTGCAAACAGTACTAGGCTAGATTAACTAGCCTCAGCAGTTTGTGTATAGTGATAAAAGTAATATCCAACCAGTGGCTGTACTGTTTCCTTTATTTCCCTTGCAAATGTATATGTAAACAGTGTCTCACTTTGACAACATAGGAATTCATACCTAATTCAGATATAGGGGTTTCAGTCTACAACTTAATGCTTAATACTGTATCAGAGTAAAACTATGCCATGCAAGAAGAGATAGATTCAAGAGTCTAAGATAACAAAACTATGCAGACTGTCAGCAGTTAGTACCAATTTTGCATTGGGTATTTTTCCAGTTTGACTGGAGAGTGTGGAAGGAGATGTTATGGGTTTTTTTTTTTTTTAGCTTTTTAAAGATGCGAGAGAGATTCATACAAGCAATTAATGCATTTAAGTGCATGTTCCCTTCGTGAAGTTCAGCACATAGGTAACATTCCAGTTTGTCTGAACATTGGGGGGGGGGTGTCGGAATAAACTACCAAGTGGGAGAATTCTGGACATTTCTTGAAGATAAGATAGACCACATCAAGCAGACAGTAGTGGAAGTGACAATACTGCTGTATTTTTAAGAAGGACTTTTCAAATATCTATTTCTGTTCTATTCTGCTGTTAAATCCTTACAAACAACTCCTGATTTTGTGCAAATAGATAAAATCAATCAAAGTTTGGTGTGACGGTGTACTTACTAAGTACTATTGAAAGATGACATCTAAAAAAAAAAAATCCAGTGTAATATTTGGAAATCAGTCCTTTATTACATCTTTAAAAGAAAGGATTGCTATTCCTTAGGCTGTATTCATGCTTAAGTCACAAAAAAATTAAATGTACAACAAGTATCAGTTGCGATTTTAAATTTTAAAAAGCGTAAATGGGGAGGGCTTGAAGAATGACAAGCTTCAAAAGAATATCCAGATTTTTTTTTCTGCAGTGAAAATGAAAACAAAATTGTATACGGAATTGATACACTTTGGTAGAAATCTTTAATCTTAAAATACACAAACCTCCTCTTTTGAATTACATTATAGCCTGTAAGATCTAATCCCCAATATATCAGACTATCTTTTGAAGGCAGTGCAAAATTTTTTTTATTTTGATATATAACAATATTCTCTTTACTACAATATTTCTGAATCCAACCTTGCCTGAAAAGTCTTCATTTTAATTTCCTCTTCCCCTTGCCCCTCGAAATTCACTGTGGTATTTCTCTAGATAGAAGTTCATTCCTATTAGTTAATCCTTTGATTTGCTGAGTCCGAATTGCTCTGAAAACAGCTATCAGAAAATATGTAACCTGAACTTTAAACATGGTTCTTCCCTATTCCAAAACAGAATTTGAACCAAATATACCACCATCAAATAAGGATTTTCTTTTTATAGAGATTTATATAGAGCACATTAATGTGCATTCTTACCTCCAGGTGGAATATAGAAGCAGCTGAGTTGAGTTTCATGGACTACCTTGCCAGAATACTTCACCCCAGGTTCCCCTGGCTGATGTGTAGGTAGCGGACGATACGCTGAAGTTGCTTTTCGAACGATGGTCTGAAACATCTTGCTCTTTTGAATTCACAACCCCGATAGATAAACGGATAAATAGCAGAAATGGCACGCTGACCTAATGCTATGCAAAAATTGCTGTCTGCTCAGAGTAGTCAGATTGCCACAAATTATGTGACAATAGCCAAGTTATGTGAATGCCCCCTCCTCCCCAAATACCAACTTTTAGGGAGGCACTTTAAAATGTAAGCAGAGTTCTGTGCATTGTTCTTTTTCTTTTTAGTTTTTCCTTCCGGACTGCTTCTTAAAGCCTGCGCCTCATGGTTGCTTGCAGACCCTTTCTCCTTCTGTTAGTTTTACAGGAAAACTTATACTGAGAAGTGAAGTTAATGGACTCCATCTGCCTGTCAGTTCATCACCTCCCTGAGTCATGGAGGTCTCTGGTTGTCATACATCATCACCACCACTGCGGTTTCTGATAACATAGCCTTGTTTTTGAAGAGGATGACTTTCTGAGAGAGTTATTGGGTTTTCTGGGTTTTACCTAGTAAGAGACCATGTTTTTCCCAAGCCACGTATATACAGATATCAGAACCAGAGGAACTGAATTATCACATAAGCCCAGGGAACTTATCCACTCAGTATGCAATGCAGATCATGCAGGGGCCCTTCCCAATCCTTCCATCTATGTGCGATATGCTTTGATATAAAGGGTTTGTTTCAGGGCAAGCGCTGAAGTCTGGGCTTCACATATTTTCCAGCAATTAAAAAATAAGGGCAGGATAGCATCCCCTTAAAAGGAAAGGCATGCACTCTGTTTCATAATGATGCAACCTTTCTGGTGAAATTATCTTGAGGTTGCAAATGGCTTCACAGACTGGGCTCAGAGGATGGGTAAAGAAGCTCCGTTTTTTGTTTCTTGGGAGCATAAATCATGGAATGACAGTGCAGCCTTCGCTTTATTTCATAGAATGATGAATACAATTATATCTAGTCTCCTCCAGACTGGAGAGAGCCCTCTTGTAAAAGTAGATTCCTTCTTACGTCCTTAACAGGCCTCTGGATATTGTTTGAAATTTCCTTTGCTTCTATCTTTAGTGTGCTAATTTAAAGGGCCACGTTGCTCTTCTGAGCCCATGATCTTACGACATTTGGACCAACGGTCTTTCGACTGAGAAAAAGAAGCCACAGCACAGCACTATTAAGACAATGAATACTATTATAGCTGACTACTTCCTTCTGCTTGCAGCCATGTGTCTACCACAGATTTCCTGATTACATGCAGAGATTTCCGATCTGTATCTGGGCAGAGGTGGGCTTGATTTGTTTTGTGGCATCCGTTTTAAGTCTTTCTTTTTGGATCTAGAGTGTTAAGTACGTTAAGTGGTATTTGCCGCACATTAGAAGATAGGCAGCTACACCTAGGCATGGGTAAGCGCATTGCAAAATCATAAGGATCTGCCTCATGTAAAACAGGATGAGATGTGCCCCATTGATATACTTGATGCTTCTTGAGGGAAAAAAATGAAGAGTAACTTTCTAAGTAGTTCAAAATGCATGCTTTAGTTATCCATTTAAATGAAGTATATTAATAATGAATTGCACCTAGGCGATGGAAGATGGGGATTTTGTCTGTACTAGTGCCCTGTTCTGGACCAAGGGAAGATAACAGGAAGACCAGCCACATCTGAGAAACAAGTGTTAGGCTGTCTCTCCAACTCATGAAAATGGCTTCTGGGTATGCTTTCTTGCTTGTCTGAAAATTGAATAGACTTGTTCTCACTCTTGGCAAACTGTTTTTGCTCTCTCTGCCTCTCTCTGCTTTAACAGGAGCTGGGGTCACTCTTGCGAATACAGTGTGGTCTATTTTACTTCCACCCTTTACACCTACGTTGATGGGTAGTATACGGTTTGTTCCAGTTATGACTTGCCCTAATAGCATCCTTTAGATATAATTCTATTTTAAGAGAGTCTTTTTGTTTCAGTATTTTAGGTCTGTAGCCCCAAGCAATTGGATGTTTTGATTTGTGTTATGATAAATAGAAAGGGATGAATTCATACCTTGTGTGGTTTTAACATTTACTGGAAAAAGTTATAGGGAAATATCTTATAACAATATTTCTTATTGGAAACATTTATTATAGAAATAAAGCTTATCCTTGGATTTCCCAAGTGCCTTATAAATAACAGTGGATGCTTTTTCCTAGTTACCCCATCTTTGTGTTCAGAAAGGAACACAACGAACAGATGTCTCTGTTAGCATAGACTTGATCAACTCATGCAGATACATCACGTCTGCTTTTCCATATGGTGACTGGGCTCATACGTTGAACTGAACCAAGGTTTATTTATCCATGATTTATTGAATAAACTCTATTTACCAGTATCAGTTTGCACAACAAGCTAAGCAGTAAATCACAATTTATAAACCACAGTGATTGGATTCACACAACATAGGAGGTCAAAAGCAGAGCAGAGCTGCCCAGAGTCACCCTTTGGGGGAGATGGGTGGTGTATAAATTTAATGACAAATAAAAGAATAAAAAGCAAACTACATCATGGCTCAATGCAATATTTCTATCCAGTCATTTTGAAAAAGCAGGAATATGATCCCCTGCTTGCTGTGTTCACAGATTTGTCCTCCTCTAATTTGTGTTTTGGTGTATACCTAGAGGTACATTTGATGTTCCTCAAATTATATTTCTGCCTCACATGGATAAGAAAGGAGGCTTGATGCCAATTGTCTCACTGTCAGGGCAAAATTCCAATTAATATCTTTTTAAAAAATCTGTTCTACAGTAAAGTATTTTTGATAAAGTTGGGTCAGCAACAGAAAAGGTCTCTTAAAAGGTGTAGTAGGATTCTGGGAGGCACTGTGGGAGACATGGAGAAAAGTAGACAGGCTGGGAAGTGTCGGGCTGGGGAAGGTGGAGAGGATGGAAGAGGGTAGAGAAGCTAGGGAGACCCAGGGAAATACTGAGGAGGCAAATTCAGCAGAGGAAGATAGTAAGTGGATAAAAAAGATTAGAGATGGCAGGAGGAGTCAGACCATAGCATAGGGATAGAAAGTGGTAAAGAGGTGAAGTACAAAATTGGTTTGAAAGTTGGAGGAAGTGGCTTATAGATTGCATTGGACACTCTGCTGGACCACATACTCTACTTGCTGCTCATTTTCCACTCAACTAGAATAATAGCTTGAGAGTTGCAATGAATTAGATGGCCGAGACAGAATTATGTCTCAGAGTACTTCAGTAATTCAGAGTATTGAAAAATTGAGAACGTTTTAGGTAGATGAGTGGAAATGGTCAAGAGATGCCGTATATGCGTCATCAAATTTTCTACCTCTTTGTGAGGTCCATTGGAGATGGTGAAGTAGCTTGCTGCTGTGCAGTAGATAAGAAAGCTCTATTGAACTCAGGTAATATATAGTTGGAAGTAAATTCCATGGGCATCAATGGATCTAACATACATGTTACTGGGCCTGATCTCTGATATTTAAAAAAACAACTTATTGTGAAATCTATCTAAAACTGGAGGCGCTTTTCAAATTCTGTGATCAAGGCCTGGAGGATAAACTATATTTTCATATTTGGTTTGAAAACAAGTAATATATTTAAACATAAAAGCTGCTGTTGTCACCTTTAATAGAATTTATACTAATCATTTGAGTGCAAAGTGTTGGCTTGTGTTATATGTACAGGACTTTGAGGTTTCATTTTCTTGGTAAAATGTGAACTTATTTATACAGTCTCTAAAATTAATAGTGTTTTCTAAATTATTATATAGGTATCCCAGAACTATTCCAATTTATTGGTTAAATGCTTTATTTTGGAACTTTGTATAATAATTTAGGAGGTATTTAAAATGTTCCATGAAAATAGGGGCCAAATTGAAAACATTGCTGCCAACCTTTCATCAGGCGTCATAATTAAATTTCTCCATAACCTGTGATCACTACTTCTCTATTATCATTCTTCCCATCCCATGTAGGAAAAAAAATAATAATACTCCAATTTTCTCAGAAAATTCTACATGTCTTAATAGTATCTTCAGTGTTATTCCACATGGAAGTAGTAGAAGTTACTCATTTATATGAATTCTGGAGCTTCATTCCCAGCACATCTGGAGGTACCAGGTTGAATAAACTTACTTTAAATTATAAAACATTTCAGATTATATAGAGCAGTTTTTTTCAAACTTGGCAACTTTAAGACGGGTGGACTTCAACTTCCAGAATTCCCCAGCCAGCATGCTGGCTGGGGAATTCTGGAAGTTGAAGTCCACCCGCCTTAAAGTTGCCAAGCTAGAAAGACTTTGAGGTTTCATTTTTTTCTAGCTTGGCAACTTTAAGACGGGTGGACTTCAACTCCCAGAATCCCCCAGCCAGCATGCTGGCTGGGGAATTCTGGGAGTTGAAGTCCACCCGTCTTAAAGTTGCCAAGCTAGAAAAACATCCACACATCTTAGAATTGCCGAGCTTGAGAAACACTGAGGTAGAGGTTTTAGAACTCACACAACAGGCATCTCAAGACTTGAAATCATAGGCAGAATGCCTTAGATGGGAGCCATTGGAGAACAACAGTGCAAGAGGGCTATCACTTTCCTGACTGTGTTTTTGAGCTTCCTGAGGGCAACTAGTTTGCACTACAGTATATGGGACATAAAGTATTTTGGCCTGATCCTGCTGGGTTTTTTGTTGATTTAAAATATATTGGTCTCTTGAATGAGACTCTGCTACAAAGCTAAGACTTGTAGAGCTTGAGTAATATAACTGTTGATAATGGAGCGAACATGGAGTTTGAAAGGTAAAAGAACTGTATCCACAGTACTCATTTATCAGGAGGCACATAGAAGCTGCAGGGGTTTTTTTCTTTCTTTGTCTTCTGGGCAGTTGGACATATTTTTTAGCATACCCTTGGGCCCTATTATTTCTCTTTTGTAAGAATGCCTTTAGAGTCTCTATGGAGCCCAGGACCATTATTTGGGAATAAAGATTGTGCTTGAGGGTGGCACTTCGCTTTGCAGAATGCTAGGTTCCCCTTTTTAATTGAAAAATAAAATAATGGGCACGGTGAACACTGTGTTGGGATTCCAGAGCATGATGGATGGACGAAGTCCATGGATGAAGTCTGGTCATTTCCTAACAGAACAGTTTTTCTAATCAGGTTAGGTGATCGTGTTCCGGAGCTATGAAATACATTACTGTAGAGAGAACTGTTCATTGTGGGCAGCCAAGTAGGGAACTTTCATCCAATCAGCTAGGTCTGGTTGCTGTAAATTTTCTGATTGCACATCTGCATCATGTAATAAATGGTAAACGGAGAAATAGAATAGAAGCTAAAATGCAACTGTTTGAATTTTATAGACTGTTTTTGAAGCTTTAGACCCTCTTTTGCAAGCAATATTTAGTGATTCTTGCTAACGCCAAGGAGGGCAGCTGGTATACATGAGGCTCTGTTGTTCATCATTTGTGTTTCATGTGCATTTACAGTGTCCATTTATGGAATTTGGTTTTATGATAAGGAAGAATGCCAAAGAATTGCAGAGCTGATGAAAAAGTAAGTGCCAGTCAGCAAAGACAGACTGGGGGAGGGGGGTGTTAACCATATTTTGCATGTTATGTCACTGTTACTGTAATACACTTTTGAACTTTAACCTCTTTTATACTGAGATTTCTGACATAGAGACATAGAATGTATTAAAGCAGAACATCAGCTAAAGCTATGGTCTTATGA